TTAAACAGTAGTGGCAGTAGTTCCTCTCTAAATGTCTTGTAGAATTCAGCAGTGAAGCCATAAGGACCTGGGCTTTTCTTGGTTGGTAAGTTTTTAATTACGTTTTCAATTTCCTTGATCTGATACTGTGTTGTTTGGAATTTTTAGGTCATCTTCGTTCAACTTTGGTAATTCATACGTATCTAGGAATCTGTCCATTTCTTCTGTGTTTTCCATCTTATTGGCATATAGGTTCTCAAAGTAGGTATTGGTGATCCTCTGGATTTCTGCTGTGTCAATTGTAATTTCATCCTTTTCATTCCTAATTGCACAGATTTGGGTCTTTTCTTTCCTTTTTAAGGTGGGCTAAGGGTTTGTCAATTTTGTTGATTCTTTTGAAGAACCAACTCTTGGCTTCATTGATTTTTTGTATTGTTCTCTTACTCTCCCTTGTATTGATTTCTGTTCTGATCTTCATAATTTCCTCCCTTGTATGAGCTTTGGGTTTGTCTTGCTACCTTTTTTCTAGAAGCTTGAGGTTCAGCATCAGGTTGTTTAATTGTGCTCGCTCTGTTTTCCTGATATGAGTATTCACTGCTATGAATTTCCCTGGTAAGACTGCTTTCCTTGTGTCCCATAGATTCCAATATGTTGTATTGTCATTGTCATTTAATTGTAGGAACTGTCTGGATTCTTCTTTAATTTCCTCTGTGACCCATTGGTTATTCAGAAGTGTGTTTTCAGTTTCCATGTGTTTCTGAAATTCTTGTGGTTTCTTCTGCTGTTGATCTCCAATTTCATCACACTATGGTCTGATAATATACAGGGGATAACTTCAGTTCCTTTGCACTTAATTAAACATGTTCTATGAGTGAGTATGTGGTCTGTTTTGGAGAAGAATGACCTATGTGCAGCTGTCAAGAATGTATATTTGGATTTTGTGGGGTGGAACACTCTGAAAAACGTCTGTTAAGTTCATTAGTTCAAGAGTTTTATTAAATTCTAGTATTGCTTATTTTTTGTGTAGTTGATCTATCTATTTGTGACAGAAGGGTATTGAGGTCTCTACTACTATTGTATTAGTGCTTATTTGATTTTTCATGTCCGTTAGTATTTGTTTTATATAGTTGGGTGCACTAGTGTTTGGTGCATATATGTTTATGATTGTCATCTCTTCCTCTTGGATTGTTTCCTTTACAATGATGTTGTGTCCTTCTTTGTGAGACATACCTGTTTTTTTGACATTAGTAAGTTGACCAGCAGAAGTAGGAAAGAATCAGCCAAGTGAGGTAGGAACATTCAGGAGACTGGTAACCTGAAGGTGAGAAGGAAGGAGTAACAGTCATTACTGATGACTCAGTAATGTATGAGAATTGGTCACTGGATGATTTAGCAACTTAGAGGGCATTGATAACCTTGATAAAGTGCAGTTTGGTGAAAGGGAGGACAAAAGGCAAAATACAAGTAGAGTCAAGAAAGGAGAGGGCTTGAAGATAGCTGTCCCAGAAGTTTTTCCAAGAAGGAGAACAATTAATAGAGTGATAGCTTTAAGAAGTGAGAACAAGATGGAAATGGTAACAGCTTGTTTGGATATTGATGGGGATAATTTTGACAATAAAGAAGAGTTTGATGAGACAGGAATGGGGGACAAATTATTGGAAAGATGCTGTCAACTAGGAGGAAGGGCTTTGGATCCAGAGGAGACTGGCAGATGGACTGGGCACTCTGGTGTCCCTTCCGTCGTACAAGTAGAAAGGCAGAGTTCCCAGGCACTGCTTATGAACATGGGAAGGTGTGATGGCAGGAGCTTTTGGACGCCTCCTCTGATTGTTTATTGGTGATGTATGAAGTGTGTCCTAGCTGAGAATGAGGCTAGGAAAGAAAATGTTGGAGATTTGAGGGAAGAAAATGTAGATCTGAGAAAGGGAAGGAGGCACAAAATAGTCTTGTTGGAGAGTGGGAGAGTGAGTGAGCCAGGGCAATGGGGAATATTGCAGGGCCATTAAAAACTTTTTATTAGGACATGTTTGCAGTGTACAGTGAATACAGTCATTCTTGGGAATTGGTACACATACGCATCACATCTTGATCCTTTTTACCTTCCCTTTCCCCTCTAACCTCCAGATCCCTTTCTCATCTCCAAATAGTCTACCTCCCTGTTTCCTATCATCTCTCTTTTATTGTACTCTTTAAATTATTTATACTTTGGGCTTCTCATATAAGACAAACAGTGCAATATTTAACCTTTGTATCAGATGTATTTCACTAAGCATTATGATCTCAAGGCACATCTGTTTTCCTACAAATGACTAATTTATCCTTTTTTATGGTTGAGTGGTATTCCATTGTATACATATACCCCATCACATCTGTTTTCCTACAAATGACTAATTTATCCTTTTTTATGGTTGAGTGGTATTCCATTGTATATATATACCCCATTTTCTTTTTCCATTTATCTGTTGATGGACATGTAGGCCGTTTTCAAGATTTAGCCAGTGTGAGTTGTGCTGTTCAACGTGAGTATGCATATATCACTGTAATATGATGTCTTTAATTTTGGGGGTAAGATACCCGAAAGGGTAATAGTTGGATCAAATGGAATCTCCATACTGACTTCCATAGTGGTTGCACTAGTTTTTATTTTCACCACCTATGTAAAAGGGTTCCTTCTTCCCCCACAACTTGCCAGCATTTGTTGTTTTCTGAGTTTTGAGTTGGTGATGATGACAGTGTTAAGGGGCTACTTTCAGTCAGTGATCACACATTTTATGTGAGACAGATTGGATGGGTTGTGTGTTTTTCTGCAGGTATGTTGGTTGCACAGGTACAGGGTAGGCAGAGTTAGATTTATAACACGGGTTTGTCGTGTGTCATGTTAAGAGAGTATGGCAAAGTGATGGTAAGGCAGTTAAGGTATACACAGGGGAGTGGTGACAGTGGTTGTCTGTGGAAGTTGAGTTGGTTAGGGAGGGAAAGTAGGTAAAATACAGTGCAAACAGGACAGGATCAGGGAATGGCTTCACATGTCATCATGGGTGTAAAGGGTTGAAGTGGGATAGAGACCATTTAGAGAAGAGGTTGAAACATCTATAGTCGATTTTCTTATGGTTGTTCATGAGTTCCAGGTGCACAGTGGGAGTTTTCAGGGCATGGGGAGAGATACAAGATGGAATCACAGTGTTCCCACTCCAGAGCTTAGAACAGAGCCCACTTCACAGCAGGAACTCATTAAGTACGCACTGGAAGGATGAGTGACAGAACGTCTGAACTATTTCCTGTTGTGTGTGCGTATGTGTGCACTGGTTTATTGAAGGAGTTCTGGCAATCGGGTACAGTCAGAGGACTGGCCAGAGTAACCCATTAGGACTCCATGGCCCTTCCTCGGGAGCAGGCTGCCGCCTGGAAGCTGTGAGCTAGGAAGTTGTGCGTGCCTGACTTAGCCGCGTGGGGGACCTCGTCCATATTTCAGCTGGGTTTGTACGTATTATTTTCATTTATGATGGAATTAAGTTTTTGAATACTCTACATAGGCTAATGTTGTCCCTTAAATGCCATTCTTTGCTTCACAGGGCACACAATATGGTTTTAACATTTTAATTGCAAACTTTTCAGAAATGTGCAGGTTTCATATTAACAGCTTGGTTAGAAATCACTTCATGTGAGTTTTCTTTTTTCTTTTAATTTTGTTGGTACAATTTATATATACATAATGACCACATTCATCATAGGGAATTTGTACCTGTACATGATATATCCTGATTCCTCTTTGTTTCCCATTCTCCTTCCCTCCCTTCAACCTCTCTTCTTCTCCCTATTTACAAAAACCCCATTTCCATTTCTGCATCCTTGCAGCTCTGGGTATTATTATTTTTAAAACTTTTGCAATTTGGTAGGTGAGAGGTTGGTACTTCAGTGCTTTTGTTTTGTAATTATTTGAATACCAGTGAAGTAGAGTATGTTAACTATATTTGTGTGCATATGAATTGCTTATTTATTTTTCAGCTTTCAGATTTATCTTTTTCTTACTACTTTAAAGAATATTTATGTAACAATGATGATAATTTGTTGTCAATCATATAAATTGTATATTTTCCCCAAATTTGCCATTTTTCTTTTAACTTTAAAAATGTTTTTGTTTTGATCCAGTCAAATCTGTTTATGTTGGTTGTTATGCTTTTATGACTACCCCCCAGCCCACCATGGAGGTTACATACATTTTCCCCCTATTTCCTCCTATTTGCTTTTTTTCATTTGAATGTTTAGTTTCTTTATATTATATATGCACACACATATGTATCTTTTTTTGTCATTTAGAAAGGAAGTTGTGCTCTCTCCCTACTGACTTCTCCCGCTGCTGGTATAAAAACAGTTGATCCTCTGCCTTTGCGGGAAGAGTCTGAAGGCAGTATGTTTAGAGTTGCTGAGACAACTCTTCCAGTTTCAAAAATTCCAGAATATCCAGCAAACACCCATGGACAGCCACCTTCTCCGCAGTATACTCTATCTTTCTGGCATCCCTCTCGTCGAATTCAGGGATCTCTAAGAGATCCAGAATTTCAACATAATGGTAATTATCTTTTTTTTGCTTTTAACTTTTTATCTTTTAAAATGAAATTGTGACACTGATAGGTAAAATGCAGTAAGAATGTACTATATATTAATAAATTATTTTTGGTTTTAGTTAATTTAATAGATCTTGAAGTAGAAAAAAACCTCTGTAGGACACTGATTGTGCTGCACCAAGTTCACTTTTCACTTTTCTAGAGGTATGAGGTGTCTCTCAAGTTCTTATTTTTTTTGGGTACTGGGGATCAAACTCAGGTCCTTGCGCTTGCGCAGCAGGTGGCAAAACCACTGAACTAAATCCCCGGCCCCTCAAGTTCTTAATATACACCTACGGGTAACCCCCCAGAGAGAGGCGGCACCTCCTCTCCAGGCGTGACAGCCCGAAGTGTCTCCAGCCATTGCCCAGTGCTGCCTATGTATAGAGTTCAAGGTCCGAAGTGCTTTTACTTTAGTTTTATTAGGCATTGCTTCTCTGTTTTCTACATTCCACTGTTAGTGTTGAGAAGGCCTATGCTGTTCTACCCTACATCCTTTATATGTCATGTTTTCTTGCTGGCAGCTTTTGGGATTTTCTCTTCTCAGCCGGTGCTCTGATGTTTTACATTGATGTGTCTTGAAGTGGATCTGTCCCATTCATTTTACTGGCACTGCAGACCCTTGACTTACGAACTCAGTTCATTTGTGAGGGCTGGCTGTAACTCAGGTTGGTCAATTGAAGGCTTAGGCTCCTCTACATGGCCTTCAGAGTCTCTCCCCTGTACACAGGCAGATCTCAGTGTCCTTAGAGAGACATTGGCCCAGGATTTCTTAATTAACCCCACACTGCAAAGGATGTTGTAATGTTCCTTCTAGAACTCTTTAAGGGTTAAATCTGTATCTGACACCATCTGGAAGCATAAGCGGCCTGCCAACATTTGGTCGTAACTCAAGACTTTGTGCATAAGTTAAAACTAAAATTCCGGTCATAACCCAAGTTGTTTATATGTCAGGCCGGTAATAACTTGAGGGTCCACTGTACTCTGTAGACTTTTCTGGAAAATTCTTACTTCTGGGGAATTTTCTTAAATAGTAATTTCCCCTCCATTTTCTGTTTCCTTGTTTTGGTACGGTCGTTACTAAGATGTCAGACATAATTTCTTATTTTTTTCTGTTGTCTACCTCTTTTTACTTTAATGTGAATTTTTCCATCATTTTTTTGTTTTAATTTGAAAGCTTTAATTTTCTGCCTCTTCTATTTTTAAATTTCTCTATAATATTTTTACCAAGAACTTTTTAATACTGCAATGTCTTTTTATACAGCATCCCCTTCTTTTTTTTTTTTTTTGGCACTGGAGATCAAACTCGGGACCTTGTGCTTGCAAGGCAGGTGCCAGAACCACTGAGCTAAATCCCCGGCCCCATCAGCATCCCCTTCTTATTTCATGGATGGAATGTTTTATCTCTTTGAAGAGACAAATTTTGTGTATTTCTATGACATCTGTATGTATGTTTTGAATGTGGTACACTTGCCCTCAGGTGAACCTGGTGTCCTCTAGCCACAGTAATTCTAAGAAGCCATTAGGGACAAAACCTTCACTCTCCTTTTGGGAGAGAAGCAGTTATTCAACTGTGTAAATTTAGAGAAGAATCTAGTGTCTTACCTGTTTTGTACAAAAACTGGTTGAAACCAATTTCCTGGTTCATCTTACCTTCACTGCAGCTTTGAGTGAGACTTAGTACCTCCAAACCCAAGCCATTAGGGAACAAATTAGTTTCATCTTGGATTCACTTATTTGCTGGTTTAAGAATTCACCATATCATTAACATATGCTGTTTGGTGGCTTTGAAGGATAATTTTTTCTGCCTTTTTTTTTTCAAGTGGGAAAAGCAAAGATGAACAATTTCCAGTTACCTCAGCCTGAAGCCTTTAATAATGAAGGTATTTTAGTAATTACATAAGATACCAAAAAAACATGAGATTCTGTGATACGTTAGTTTATAATTGTAAATGATCTTACATTTGATTAGCACTTCATGGCTTACAGAGTATTTCCACAGATATATTGTGTTAGACCCTTGAAATCCTGGCATGGGGTGAAGTTAATTTCCATTTGAAAGTGAGTAAACTGGGACCTAAGTGGTGAAGAATCTTTTCTAGGGAAAGATGATAAAAGACTGTGCCTTACCTCGCAGCAATGTCAGACTTTCTGTGTTTCTCCTCTATCCAGCTTGGGGATTCAGGAATATAGCCACAATAATATCTGTATTTTTCCAAATATCGGTATTTTTGTCAATTTTCAGTATGCTCCCAATTATATAATTAGGAAAATAGACTTTGTTCTGCTATGTAGTTTTCTGATAAATTCATTTACTTCTAATAGTGGCAGGAGAAATTTTGAATTCATATGTGAACAATCAAAATTACTATATTGATTCTTCCTAAGAAGTATGGAATTACTGAATTTATAAAGTTTAAATTTGGAAATAAATTTGAGCTTAATACTTTATATATTAGAAGCTTAGATACATTAAAGGTGTTTTGTTCCTTTAGTAAGTTTAGGGCTTTTTTTTTTCCAGGATTCAGTGAGGCTAGAAATCAAGTTATGTTTTCAAATGCAAAATATCTTGTAACTTTGAATCTTGTTCTATTTTCTTTTTAGTGGAAGAACAATGTTTATAATGACCTTATAATAGATTTGCTTGCTCAGAATAGGGAATTTCAGTAATAAGGATAGCATATTAAAGTCCTATTATTTCTATATTTCATGAGATTATTTTACAAATGTGATATAAATACCATGTTAAGATATAACATTTTGTTTTTAAAAATTTTAGAAAAGCTTTTTGCCCTCAAGTAACTGCTTTTAAAAGTAGGATAATTCCTGATGAACTATTTCCAAGTAATACTGAAATCAGAAGCTGTGTTTAGTTAATGACGTTATGGGATTTCAGAAAGGGAGAACATTCATTTAATGTCAAAATGTTTAATATCTTTATGTACTATACCTGGAAAATTACCATGAAATAAGAAAATGTTAAAAAAATCTTACATTGAAAGGATATTTTTTCTAATATATACACATTGACTTTACGAGGGTTGATACTTTTAATTTCTTTAATGTTATGGGCAACATAATATTTGTTTAGGAAATATTTTTGCACTGGAAATAATTTTGGGATTCTTTTATTACAGATGAGGACAGATTGTCCGAGATTTCTGCTCGCTCCGCAGCTTCTAGTCTCCGGGCTTTTCAAACTCTGACACGGGCTCAGAAAAGGAAGGAGAATTTCTGGGGCAAAACATAAACCTATCTTGAGTTTGTTTTCTTATGCACAGAACCATTGGCATAATTTTCCTTAATTGATCACTATGTTAGGAATTTTTGAGTGATTGAATTTTCTTCTGGTATTTCCAAGTTAAATTATTTGATTTTTTTCATTAGATCGTTTTACTTGGAAAATTTTAGCTTACACAAATTTAACTTCTAAAAAATTCTTTTATGTCTCTCCCCAAATACAAAGGTAGAGATTATGTAGTTCTTCACATGTTCTTTCTTCTGTATTAGGGGTTGGGGATAGCTGGGAGAGTTGTGAATTTCTCCTGTCCTGAGAATATTCTGAAGAGATGAAGTGAAGTGAAAAATTAAGATCCAAATGTGGAGTATGTATTCCTCTAAGACTGGTTCTTTGTATCTTTGTAGACATAAAATGAATTTTGTTGTCTCTTTAACTTTGCTTTAGTGTTTCTTTATTTTTGTACCTTCTATATATGGATGCAGCATTATTTAAGATAATTGTACTTTGAAATTACCAGCTGTATATATTTTTCTTATTTATGTAACACAGTTTGGTGAGAGAATATGTATATTTTTGATCTTTGTGTGTATTCTATTTGTATAATAACTTTGGCTTAGATTTAAATAATGTCTGGATTTTGAAAAATTTGTATAATGGAAGACTAAAATTTTGTAGATGTTTTAAAATAAAAATTGTTCAAGTGTGTTTGTCTTCTCTAGAAGGTTATTGTATGGAACAGGTTAATCAAAAGTTATAATACCATTACAACTGTAAAAATGCAGTGCGACTAAATCTACAACTTTTTATATAAATGTAGGACAAATATGGAATTTTAAAAGCAGGCTCATTTTAAAAAATTTAACACACATTTTGATTATATTCACTCATAGGACTTTCCATGGTCTTACTCTGTTTTTACAAATCACAATAAATTTATTTCTAAAAATAGGGATTTTTTATAAAACATAAGATTTTTACAATAATACATAAAAAGTACTGAAAATAAAATATAAAGAATATTAATGCTTCTAAAGTGCTTAATTTGGTCAAAAGTGCTTTTACACATCATTGGTTCACAATAAGTTTGTTAAAGATCTCATGTGAGGTTGTAAAGAATTATAGACATACAAATATTTGCTTATATTCCACTGACCTTTTAAAATAATTTATTCATAAAGAAACTTATGGAGACACTAAACATGGAAATAAAAGTTTGGAATTGTGGAATAATTGGATTTTAGAACATAAATTGGCTTCTAGACAATTGTGTTCTGAGCCATATTGGTTGTAAAATAATTTTGGAACTGGCTGTCCCTGTAGAAGCTTTGAGATAGTAACCATTTTCCTTTTAAGAAGTTCATTAGTTTAGTTGGCTAGGACAGTTTTCAGTGACTTCCTGTCTGTGGTAAAGAAATTACAACAAACTTTTAGGGTCTTAACTCACAGTCCTACGTTAAAGTACAGACTGATATCTGGGTGTACTTATTGTAGTGAATCACACACGAACTTCATCTACCAGTTATTAGACTAGAGTATAGTTTTCATGAGACAAGGTCGTGATCCTAGTGTCTTTCTTATCTCATGATTTAACTGTACAGTATACTACTGACTACCTCTATCTTAATAACTCAGTGGTCCAGGTGGAAAATAGTGTTGAGGAATCATTACTGTTTGATCATGTGTACTAGAGAATAATTTGAAGGACATAAATTTGAGTTGATGGGTATTCTTGATAACATGGGAACTGTCTCGTGAGATTTGCTAGTATTGAGGAACTGATTGCTAATTCAGTTTGTACCAATTTTATGTATAATTGGGAATGTTAAATATTATAGCTCACTGAGTTTGGACACATGTATGCATCTGTGAAGCCATACCACAATGAAGATATACTTCCATCACCCTGAAAGCATTGGCATTTCCCTCTACAATCAATCTCTTTTCATCCCTATTCCCCAGGGTAGCTGTTAATTTGCTTTCTGTTGGTAATATTAACTTGGAAAAGTGTTACAAAGATGAAATCATCTTTTGTGCCTAGCTTTTGCTTAGTATATTTTTTGAGAGTCATTCTTGTTTCAGTGTGCATGTTCTCATTTAATCACCCCACTGGTGGATTTTTGTGTTGTTTGGCAGTTTGAGACCAAAATGAATAAAACTGCTGTTCATATTTGCGAATCCTTGTACAGATACATGCTTTCATTTCTCTTTGGAAAAATACCTAGGAAATTCAACCTTTTATTTACCTTTAGCGCCTGCTTTGAGTACATGTATACAAGCACAATGTTCCCCAAATCGACATTTTTTGGGGGGGGGTAGGGTTTCACTATGTAGTTCAGTCTGACCTTGAACTCACTATGAAGCCCAGGCTGCCCTCAAACTCATGGCAATTCTCCTGCCTCAGCCTCCTGAGTGCTGGGTGCTGGGATTACAGGTGTGAGCCACTATGCCTAGTTAGTCCAAATCAACATTATAAGCTCTCTTGTCTAAATTGGTATCTCATAATCCAGACAGGAGTGAACATCAAAGTCACAATGGAAGGTTTTTCCGAAATGCACATACCTGCCCTTTTGCTACCCCCACCTCCATCTTCACCCTAAATGCTGAAATGCTTAGCATTTTTCTGTTTGAGAACCCAAATAAAAATGTGCAACTACACATACATGTATGAGAGGTTTTGCATGTTAATTTTTTGTCTCATCTCTGAATCCCTATAGGAGTCTGAATTTCAAGTGAAGAACTTTTGAAGGTTGATTTTGATAATTAAGGATAAAAAACAGGATAAATATGCTTAGTACATTACTGTGCAATTTAGCATAAATCCCTATTTTATAGATGAGGCCCAAGAGCCTCATCGCTGGCCCAAGAGCTCTGAGCTGGTGAATTAAATCTGTTGTCTTACTTGAAATCCACCCACACTATCTTCTTTGTGGAGACTTTCTGCTAAAATTTAAGACCTATGATGATTGAATTCTCTGGTTGATTCATTTGGGAGTTAATTTTCCACTTTGCCTTCTTGGAAGAGAAATAGCTCCCTTTCTCTTCTAGTCAGGAAAACTGAATGTGGGCACTGAATCATTGTACAAATGGATTCAACCAGAATGAAAATGTGTTACCATTCAAAACAAATGTATCCTTATATAGAGCTATGTTGAGGTTAGCTACTCAGGGAGCTTCAGGTAGATTACATAGCCTGGTGTGCATACAGGAGACACCAAAATTTTTTTATCCTGACACTTCTGGAGGTTTACCAAATGAACAAATCTAAAATGGTAGATGATCCTAGAATCATGTATATTTGATTTTGGAATATACTTTTGATACTTTTACATATAGTGAGTAGTGGCCATGTTAACATTCTCAGAGGTCAGTGTTTGTCAAACTACCACAATCAGTGTTCCTGTGTGACCGTGCTGCACACAAACTACTCCAGGTAGAAGAGTCACCACTAGACAGGTAGGGTTGTGTTCCACTGGGCCTGGTCACAGCTTGCCCTGAAATTTACATCCAGCCAGTGATTTTTTTCAGCTCTACTCATGGACTTTCAGGCTGGTGTTGGCTTTGGCCTCTAATCTAAATGTGTCTTTCCTGTGGTGAGCAGAGGCCCAGAAAGACCCAGCCCTTGGCTCTCAGGCTCAGAGCCAAGCTTCTATAAGTCCCATTTACTGTTTTGTTCCTACCCTGGTGCGCTCACACAGGGTCAGCTCCCATCCTACTACCCCTTGTCACATGGCAGGTAACCGTGAAAGATGTCATCCTAAAGATGGCATCCATTTTTCTTCCAACAAGCACTCCACCCTCTACTCTCATTTGTGGCTTCCCTGGGCCCCACAACCCTAGCAGAGAATTTTCTTGGAAACTGAGTAAGAAATGAGGACTTAGGGGACACTGAGCTCCTTTTGGAAGTCTATTGAGGCTACTAGATAGAGTGATGTTTGGGGTGTTTACATCTCAAACAAACCACATAATGGATAATTTAGATTATGTTGAAAATTGTTGTTTCTCCATTATATATTCCACTGTAGTATGATGGAGCTGGACCATGGGTCCATTGCTTAATATTCATGAATTTTGTGAACAGGTTGTTAAATCATCAATAGTTTGAAACTGGCCATGGTAGGAATATTTACACCACTGAAATCAGCTGATGCTATAAATCAGGGCTTCTCCTTTCTACCCTCCAGTGGCAATTTGCAAGCCCACTTCTGTTTCCTGTTCTTTCCATATTATTTTCCTGGTGGAAAAAAGAAACCCTACTTCAGAAAGGAGATAAGAAGCAACTCAAGATATGTTGCTGTAAGATTTATTATAGCATTCATATCTCCCTTGGCTTATAAAAATAAAATAGTTTGGTTCAGTTTCCTTTCTTGGCTGAAACCCACCTAGGAAATAAGAGCCACAAACAATAGGTAATGGACTTATAGAGGGACAATGCCCCCGACAGATCTGACGAACATGGGCTGGAAATCTGTAGGTATAATCTTACAGGTGACTCTGATATTTGAGTAGTTGGGAGCCACTGGCTTTAGCGTTGTAATAATCTATGGTCTCATCTCAACTCCATCTTGAGCAAGCCTTTTAAACTTTGAGCTTGTGCTTGTCTTGCAGATGAACAGAATAGTTTACCAATTTAGTTTTGAGATTAAATAGCATAAGGCCTACAAGGGTGTTTCATATATGGTATTCAAAATATTTTTATTATAATGGCAAATTTTTATTAAAGCAATAGGTAATGAAAGACTTGTTTCACAGAGGCCAAGGTTAAATCTGGCACAAAGGAGTCAAGGAATCCCAAAATTGTAGCCTTTCTCATCACAGATCTATCTTTTATGACCTACATTTAGCTCACACAGAGGCAGTTTGGGGTAAGAGTGTTGAAATGATTCGTCTGTTTCCGTTCTGTGGCAAAGCAAAAATGATTCTGAGTGCAGTGTTGTGACTCAGCAATTGTAGAAGCTGGAATCAATTACCTGATATATGCAAACCATATTAGAGTAACCATGAATTGGAGATGTTATCAGGTACGAATTGGAGAATGCAGAGATAGAGGGTAGAGATAGGGAAGGTTGGTCCCTGGATGAATACATACACATCAAAGATTTCCTATGTTTACTGTAAGTTATTTCTCTTTTAAACAAAATTCTAGTTTGTAATCTCAAGAAGAAAATAAAAACTAATCAAAATGCCACACAGATGGGTAAATGTAGATGCTTTACATTCATAACTTCAATTATAGTCAGTTTGGACATCGTACTCAGGAAATTTTACCCACAAGGAGAACTTTAGCATTCAGTGTTCCCATTAAGTAAGTATTCAGGTCAAAACAGTTAAGGTGCTGGGAAAATCAAAACAAAATTGAAAATAGGTTGTGTGACAATACGAATACTCTGGTTCTACAAAGAATCCGGACTGTTAGAAAGTTTACTGTGTAATTTTGCAGAAATGGAACATCCAAAATGCATTAGTATTTAAAGAAAATATATGTGGCATTAACAAACCCTAGCATGATCATATAAATGAATTTTTGTGAATTGTATTCGCCAAAATCAGATACACAAACCTGAATATTGTATGTTATTTCTCATCTGAGTAAGGCAAAGTACAAACTAAGAGAAAAACAAAAGGCTAGAAGGAGACAAGGGGATAGATCTCTTGCAGATGGGAAGGAGTCCAGGGGACCAAGGGCAAGGGGCGAAGGGGAAGGGATGGGGAAATAGGTAAAGATACGCCAGGTACAAGGTCCTAATGAGTTTAATGAATGTGGACATTACATGCCATAAACATGAGCTAAGATTGATAATATTAACAAGAATGAAAAGGGGGAAAGGGAGACTAGAAGAAGAGGGAGGGAGGGGGAAGGGATTAAAAAAGAAAGAAGCTGAGCTATGTACATACACTAACTCCCCTGCATGACTGTAAAATGCATGTACAGCAAACATGTACTAATAAAACAAAATTTGAAAAAGGAAGAAAAAAAAACAATTTTAAAAACCTTTTGGATCCATGCTCTAAGACCATGTCAGTTTCTTTTATCAGATTCAAAATGTCGGGCCCAAGAGAAATTCCATCCACATTTATTTTTATAATTTGAAGAAATATATAAAATATGGAGTAGAGACTAATATAGGAATGTGTACTGTTCTTCAATCAATTTAATAATAGAATAAAAGTAGAACTTAGAAGCAGTGATACAGCTCTAATATTGTCAGAGAAGCTTCTAGAAAGATACTGATACTTTTCCTTGTACAAATTTTCATTTATCCATTCATTTCAACTGCCATGCACAAATTCTGCACAATTACATTTCCAATATGTATAGCACATTAATCTCAGTGTGTCTTTCAGTAGTAGCCTACTTAAAAAAGTAACAGGTACAAATAATTACAAAACAATTTAAAATAGAGACCTATTTTTTTGGCAATTCTATATCAGGTGAAAGATCATTTTCTTCCCATGCTTTATGGATTTTCAAATTTTCTGTGACAAATAATTTCCATTTCCTCCTCCTCTCTGAAGGACAGCATAGCCAGCAAGCATTACTTTTTCCTGTGTCAGGTTCCCATTGTTAACTGTGTTTCCAGGTTGCTAATAACAAAAAGTCCACCCAAGCCGCAGTAATATATGGCCTGTGTGGTTTGTGTGTGCCTGAGTATTGTTCGTGAGAGTGTTAATGACAACACCAACACACTCATTTTGACATTCTGTGGTTCCTTGATGTGCGTTAAGAGTAAGAGTAAACTGACAAATCTTGCATGCGTTCCCCTCTGCTAGTCCAACCTGGCTTAAAAAAATCTTCCCTCTTTGCCTTCTGCTCCTCCATGGGAAATCTGGAGTGCATTCTTTTCTGGGTCCAAAGGTACTGGTGGTTGTAGGACCCTGGAGATCGCCTTTACCTTGACGTCTGCTGGGTGCCTGCAATCCAGGTGTGGCAATGACACAAAGTCAAATGTATTTAGAATAGAGTCTTGTACCACATTTATCTCTGGGTGAATGATTCAATCTCCACCAGCCTTCCTATAGTAGATTTTCTTTAACAATCTTAGTAGATCACAAGAAGCTGGAAAAAAGGAAGCAATTACAAATGTTAATTTTAAATAGAACTTAAATTTTTGGGTTATACAAGTAGATATTTGAATCTTGGTTTTGCTACTTGTTAGCTTTGTGATCCTGGTTCAGTT